GTAGTGTACAGCATCGATTTCTGTGGAACCCAGTAGCTGTCAAAACTTTCACATTTTTACGAATAACTCGGAAATCGTAAATTTTTCAGGTAAAACGGTTGAAACAAACATAAATTAAAATTGAACGGCCAATCTGAAAATAACAAAAAAAAGGGGGGGGTTTCATTTAAAAAACCAGAGTTGGTAACTACCACACGTTTATGATGCACCCTGTATATTGAAAAGTAATTTTAGAATGTGGACCTTTTAAACGTGAAAAACTTTTGTTGGACGAATTTTCTTGTAAACTTCATATTTACTGAGATATCGCACTTTGACGCACTAATGAGCAACCCTGTATATTTGATATTTACGTTATAGCTTTTACCTTGAAAATAAATCAACATCTTTAGCTCCGTAATGTTATCATATATTACTGTTCTTCTATTTAAGAATGATTTACTATAGTAATGAATTACACTGAATTATGCAGATGAAAACGGTTGCGGATGAAATGCATCACGGTTTTTCTACATGCGGTTCTGGTTTAAACCCCCCATTATTTAAAATTGTGCAAAACATTTACGTTTTGTATTTTAATTTTCTTTTTGATAAAGCGTAAAATTTCGATCTCCAGTAGTCAACTGAAATATAATCTTTATTTCGGTCAATTTGTCAATTCGGGAATATGATTTCTGCCTTTATATGCATCAAAAAAAGTTTTTCAGTCAAAACTCGAACCTGAGAGTCTCGTTAATCGCGATGTAGTTTAAGTGCTTATATCTAGGAAATTCCAAAAATCATTAGGACCTCTTGAATAGAAGGTCTCGGGAAGTGTTTTCCTATTTTTTTTTTCAAAATTTTCTAACTTTTTAATAGTTGGTATGAATCAAAATTGACGATTTTAAGAATCTGTCGACGTTTTAAACAGTCTCGTAAAACACAAATGTTTTAAAATAATTACTAGAAACTTATAGATCGGTTGAAATCGGACCTTAGAAAGTTTGGTACCAACGCAGTTAGTTAATTGATGTTGTTACACAAATATTTAATACATCCAATAGCCACATTGTCAAGTTTATGAAAGCGCCTCTAATACAATTACATTTCGAAAACTTGAAGAATATTATAGTAACTATTATAGAGCAATTTTTGCTGTGACCATTGAAAACTAGTGATTATGAACCACCAGATTTGATCTGAGTAGGCCAATATTTACATAAAGTCATGCTCTTAGCATGGGGAAACCCGTTAAATACTTATTTGCGTAAAATTTAACCGAATATTTCGAAGGCGTTGTTTCAAACCCCAAGGCTTCCGCAAATAGCTTTCCGCGCGTTTCGTATATTCTTGGATATTCTCTTTACAAATTTCTTCTGTTGAAAGCTTTTAAACACTTGAGTAATACTTTCCACAGTAATTTAAATTATTTCAATAATAAGAAGTTGCCAAGATATATATGCCAAATAGTATCAGGTTTGTCTTAGATATTTAAAACTAGGTTCGTATATATAGGGAGTTTAAAAAGGTCTGTATCGTCACTTTTAAAATTGGGATTTGAGCTACGACTACGTATTCCACATTTTTCTGCAGATAATATTTGAGAAGCTAAATAATATAGAACAACTTCTCTTAATACAGGTTTGTGTATAGTCAGTAATATTGAGAAACACTTTGGCTTATACTGCTTAGAAAACTCAATTTGGTAGCAATCTGCAATATAATGAGTTACTGATTAAACGATTAGAACACATCTAATCTTAAACTCGCCTAGCCTTATTACGTATCCCATGAAATAGTGTTTTTACAATACATATGTAAGTATGAATGTTACGTGCAATTGGCAAGTTTCCCTAATTTTGAACATAATAATTTTTCTAAGTTATTATTTTTCACATGAGTTGGACGTTTAACTTTAACAAGAAAGGTGAATAAATAGATTAAAAGTAACGATTATTGAACAGCCTTGATATAGGTAGGTAGGAAATTAGCATGTTACAAGCTACACCTACCCAATAATAAAATTGGCTTTATGCAAAACATAATAGAACAGGCCCTGCATAATCCTGAAATCGGTTATGGTTTTATTAGATGGATCCCAAAAGCAAGATTTACCTACGTGCCGAAACAGAAACACTTTATATTTCAAGTTGTGTAAGTTTTATTCAAACATTTAGCTGTTTAATATTAGTTCCAGTTGTTTCACACCACCAGTGAATCTAACTACTATAGAATGTAGAAAGGCAACAATAACTTCTAACATTTTTGTTTTCTTTGCTGGTCGCTTTTATTTATTAATTCGTGACAGACAAATTCGATTAGCGAAAATTGACATTTTCAGTATAGGTTTAGAAGTAAGAACAATTTAGTGATTTAATATTAAAAGGTCTCCCTTTTAATACCAAAACAGTACAGTACAGTAGCATTGTGAGAGAAAGATACTTACACTTCCCTAAACCGTGTTTATTATGCTCTTATTTTTTTAATTTAAATATCATGATCATGTATTATAATGGGGCAGTTTGTCGGCGTATGGGAACAAAAATGGACTGCCATGCGTTTCAAAATGATGCCAATATTTAAACATGTTTACCATTTCAAGACAGTGACACAAAAAAGAGTAATTACTGGGTTGTTATTAAGGACTTTAATTCAAAAGCTATACCCATGCATAATGTTCCTCAACAGTTCCTCCGACGTGTGAATTATTATTATTGCGCTCCATTTCATTAGTTCTGGAGCTAATGTTCATAAAAGACACCAATAATCTGATTTATCTGTGAAAATATTTGCTTGAGCATAAATTCGAGCAAACGCCTTTGATATATTTTATTTTGTTAGGATCTGTATTTATATAAATAATAATTTATAGAGTATATTTCAAATAGTAAAAGATACGCTTATCTATTTTCCCCTCACGGGCAATATAAAGCATTTCTGCATGTAAAATATTTACAGCAATTTTCTCAGCTGCACTTAAATTGCAATTCTCATAATTTTAAAGCGCAATATTATTTATTGCCGAAAGTGGTTTTAGAAATATGTAGGAATTAAGAAAAAGTGAAGAAACGGAAATGGTACAACTGAAAGTGAAGTGACTGGATAAATTGTTGAAAATATCCACTTTGTCACTATCTCTAAATAAACGACGATAAAGCAACGAGAAAACAATTTAGAGTAATAAAAGTTCAATCAAACAAGGCTTTTGTAATGAAGTGTGTATGTAATGCAAGGGTATATAAAGTAACCCTTGAAAATTAGTTATGGCAACAGAACATCTTAAATATGGTAAACATTATTAAAAAATTTGAGAGGAAACTAACGACAAAAATGACTAAAAATAAATAAAAACGGGAAAATTAACTCTACTGATCAACCCTCCTAATCTGATACAGACTTAATATTAAAGGCTTTCACACAAAACTTAGTTAAATTGGAAGGAAAAAGAAAATTTTAATTTCCTTATCCGTGTGAAATACTGATAACTACCCAGTAGGTACTAACTAATGATTGCATAATAACAACTAAATGACTCGACGCCTAGCTTTAATCAATTTTAGATAACACGCAAAAATCAATGAAGTTATATTGTTTTATCGTTCACAAGTCTCTAGTTTCTATTTTACCGCTAATTTATTATTAGCGTAATTAATGGTATGAGAATGGCAGTTATTGTCCTTCACAGTGTATAGTAATGTAGTTTTTTTCTCTTTGCCACACTTTTATTTGTTTGTTTCTGGCTTTCTACAGCCCAGGCCAGTCACCGAGTCGTTTAGGTTTTAGTATGCAATAATTTGCCCTTAAGTATACAAGACTTTTATCAGTATTTCGTATGGATGGTATGGAAATAAATAAGTTTTGTGCAAAACCTTTAAATATTTAATTTGTATCAAGCTGATCACTTGACAGTGAGGGTTGCCAGTCAAGTTTATTTTCTCGTTTTCATTCAATTTTAACATATATTTGACATGTTTTGTTGCCATAACTAAAATTCGAGGGTTATTTTATATCCATAATCTTGTATTACCTACACACTTTATTATAAAAGGCATGTTAAATTGAATTTTATCCAATGTGTACACATCAACTTCCAACCCCTAATAAAAATAATATATATTTCCAGAAAAAATATAATTCTTCGTCCACATATAACTGGCATCGATCGTGGATGGACACTGTTTTTTTTAACTTAAAATAATTCCAAACAAGCGAAAATTTACCGATTGTTGTACTTTCACTTACCTGTGACAATTTTCCACCAGCCACTAACCAGACTTTCAAAGACATATCTTTCGATCCTGTGATGATATGAGTAGAATCTACTGTTATCACAAAACAAGTGATTTCTTCTGGATGTGTTACAGCATATCTTTCATCCTCTCTCATTAACGCCCATATCTTCAGTGTAGTGTATCCATTAGTGGCTACTGCATATTTCATATTTGTTGTAGTTTTCACACTTTTGCTTAACCCAGAGTATGTTTGCAAAACTGTACCATTGTCGGCATGCCACATGTATATGGTAGCGTTATCATCACTGGATATTATTCTGCTGGAATCCATCAGAACGAAAACTGCTGCTATTGATGATGTATGGCGCTGAAACAACATTAATTTTGTATCAATCAATTGAAATAGCTGTTCAACAATACAAGATTTAATTAAAGATGTACTGCAGTGTAGTTTTTCAAATAAGTGCGGCGTAGCTTTGTTTCTAATGATCTCTTGGGTTCTATGGTTTTTACGCAGGTAATAAAAGGTTAAAGAATCCATGATAATCTATCGTGTCAACAGAAATACTTAAATTACTTGCAGGAAATCGTAAAGCGTAATTTGTGAACTCACAACAACAGCAGAATCATCTGGAAAGAGTAACGACGTCTCATTACAATTAATTAATACCTTTAAAAGAAATAGCAATAATCCGCTACAGCAGTAACAGATGCACCATTCTGCAGACAAAGGGTTGTATCTGAGTTTGAAATTAATTCTTGTGATCACATTAACCTGCGAAAATCTAATTTGAATCTGCTAGTCGCGGCGCTAAAGTAAATTACAAAAGCGCGAAACATTGTATTATGTTCCTTTCTAATGGATAATCAATATTTCTGAAAGAAACTATTATGATAAACTGCTCTAATTTCAACTCATTTTTTGCACAGAAACAAGAGTTTCGGATAAACTTTGGCCACATTAATGCTGTTGCATGGGAGTGCGGATTTGAAAAAAAAGCAAAAGTCACAAAAAAAACGTGGTCAAAAATGGTATCATCCGAATGTATATTTAATTTTAATATCTGTATTTCGATATTCACTGCACTAACTAGTTTTTGTGCTTAAGCTGTGTGTTGGAACCAACGTCTTTGCATATTAGTTGCTGGCTGAAAACTGTACATTGCGATTTATTAATCACTGTGAAAAAACCACTAGTAGTGATTTCTTGCTCAACTGTACATTAAAGGAGTAATGTCTTTGGTTATATTAAATATAATGCAATTGCGAATAGAAAAACAACAACGGGAATTAATTACGCAATCGTTTCAGTTTATTTTATTGGAACAGAGATTGAATTTAACATCAAGCACCACAGTTCAGGCGCAGCCATTTAATAGGCCCTTGTTGGCAATCAAGAGAGTTCTTCGGCGTTGAGTAGATTTTAGAGATATCAGACGTTCTGTAATTTCCAACAATTTACATTTATATATAAGCGGCCCACTCATCATAAATAGCTTATTTTTGCATTTACAGTTTCCACATTTAGAGTTGTATTCATAACAATATTTTGAATAGAGAACACTGACGCGCACTAGAGTTTCAATTAGTGAATTAGTTTTGAGTAGAATTTCTACATTATAGTAGAAATTTATTAATTTAGCAGTAAGATTATAGTGTGCATATAGTGATGACGGGAGGGTTGCCGCAAAATTATTTCACACAGATTTTATTTTGATTTTACATTTATGGTCGTAATTTATTCTTGCTGGAGTGAATTTGAGCTGAATACTTTGATGCATTCCTTCGCAATTAATTCCGAAGGTTTCGCATTTTTCGCACTCTGCGCTATTTCTGCACCGCATTTTTCAAGGGGTCTTTTCCTCCCAATAACTGGACCTTGCATCTAGTTGCTGTCTTCAGCAGCCTTTGAAGGAAGCTTCGACTTCATTGTGGTGTGAATTTGAGCCGAATAGTTTGTTCAATTTCTTGACAAGGAAATCATAAACTGTGGACTTTATTTTCTTGCACCACATCTTCAAGAAGCATTTACTCATTAACCGCACTAGTTATCTGTTCGATATATGTGATGAATGTTAAACATTCTTTGTTATAAAATATATCAACAGTTAGAAATTACAAATAGCACTTTTTGATATGCGCTGATGTGATGCTTTTTATGCATGTTGATGTTGATGATCTCCTATAGTGAGTTCTTTTTGGAACAGACAAAAGAGTTGGGTAGCGAATTGAATTATTTGTAAACAAGCAAAATTGGTAAGCGCATTCAGGCAATCTAGGTCATGGAAATTTTTCTTATACCTAATTAAATCATTTGCTTACCGAAAATGTCAGTACCAATGTTCCTAAAGTGAGGCCCCAAACCTTGACGGTTCCATCTTCAGAACCTGAAGCGACAAATAGGCCACTAGGTGCAAAGCTAACAGCTGTAACTGGGGCTGAGTGTCCATTTAACGTGAGTACCAACTCTTGATTATTGAGCTGCCAAACGTTTACTAAATGATCAGTGGCTCCAGTAACTGATAGTTGTCCATCCCGTGAAATATCTAGACAGGATATAAACCCAGTGTGTGCCGTAAGATGATGGTGGGTTTTCTTCTTCACTTTCAAAAAACTTTTGATATGATCGGTACTGCGGAATGTGTAGATTTTGATGTAGCCGCCACCTAGAAAAACGGTGTCCATTTCAGTGCTTAACTCCAATAAAATGAAGAACAACGTCAAATAAGTAATGTAAGACGCAAGTACCAATAGTTTTTGAATGTTCTTCAATTATTCGAAATTCATAACTACATGGCAATGCTAAGCAGTGTATTATTCTACAGGCTTTGCACCTGGACAAGTTATTAACATTTTTGAACATTATATATAAGTGAAGTTTTATCCATTACATACACACTGACATATAAAACATGCAATTTTCTCTATGCGGCTTTATTTATAGCGCTAGCATTATTCACGAAATTCAAATTTAAGGTTTCATTTTTTAAAATAAAAAATCACATTTCCTTTCTTTCTTCCCCTCAAAAAGTTTTTATTGTACGCATCTGGTGGTCCCATTAAAAGAAAGGAATATTTTTCTGATGTTTTTCCTTTTCATCATTTATGATTTTGAAGGAATTTGTGAGAGTTGATACGAATGCAGATGGTTTTCAATAACTTAATGAAATAGCCATATAAGTAAGGTTTTGAGGTTGAGCACGTAATGCAATGAAGCAAAGAATGTTGGAGGGCAAAAAGGTTGAACAATGTTCGAAGAAAATTTAAAAACAAAAGTGACTGTTCCAAAACACACTCCATCTAAGAACTCTATTACTGGAAATCATACACGGAAACACCCCACCCCATCACCCCATATCTATCTGCAAGTCATTGTTTTATTTAAAGGAAACATACATATAAACATCGAAATGCGTTTGAACCAAGTTGTGTTAATCCAAATTCACCTATTCCTTTCACCAAATTGTTCAAATGCGCGGAATTATGAAAAGACAATAATTGTTGCGAGTGTTGGCAGTTTCCGTGAATTTTACCGCGTCATCATTTCAATTTATCGATACATTTTCTACTTGTGCGTGTGTGTTATTTGCGGGCACCGAAAATGCCTAAGCCATATTGCGCAGCCTAACAACAATTTATTTTGCTTATATATTTAACACCATCGATTAGTTCCTACATAGAATAATCATTGTTTTTTCCTAAAAATTATTTTTTACCTTCTAAATTCAAAAATTACATCAGAATTTGTGATATCACACTGCCCAAGTACAAAAGACACAACAGTTTTCACAATTTTCCGTTTCCAGTTTGAGCGGCCTCAGCTTGAAATTGGTAAGTTTTTTGCGTTTAGAGAACGTCTTGAAATAAAAATTATTCTTAACGTTTAGCAGTCACGAGTAGCTTGCAGCTTCCGAGGCGTTTTGTTCGAAAGCATTAGTTCAGTGTAACATTTGATTAAAATACCTCTGAAGATGCAAGGCACTCGTGCTTGCGAAACATAGGTAAGCAAGAAATTCTATTCCACTCATTTCAGATTTTCTGGACAGCGTCTGGAAGACAAAAATTTACGCACTTATTTCCGAAAAGCATATAAAACTTAAAAAACAACAAAATTAAACGTTAAAAGTCATTGGTAGCGTTTGGGTCAAACTACATCTACGTATGTTTTCACATTTTTCACACACATCTTTCATAACATTTAGTGATAATTTGGAGTGGTTTATTAATTCACATTTTCATCATATTAAAATTACGTTTACGAATAAGAGTAATGATAATTTGCATATAAATTGAGTTACATTGTAGCTGGTTGCTACTATTACATAACTCTCGCTGACTGAGCTTTCAACTTCACAGACGAAAATTGTCATTCCTGTTCGCCAGTCTGTCAGCTAGAAATTCTGCTGTTATGATGAATAGTTAATAAACTGAAATGTGTTCTCTTTTTTTGTTAAAATTGCAAAAGGGATATCGCTAGAGAGCATCGCTAGTTTTTATTAACTCGTATTAAAAAAAAACACTCTCTTGACTGAAATGGTATTCGAAACGGTTAGGTATATAATAATTAGTGTCCAAGATGACTTCGCTGCTTGAACTGTTTGGGTTCTGAATTAACTTCATTTTCAATTGAATTACAGTGTAACTTGAAGGCAATTTATTTCCTGGATCAAAATCGACTGAACTCTACTACGTCTTTACAACAAGTTTCCCTTAATTTCGTTTTAGTTCAATCAATTGTACGCGCATACGTGCAGTAGACAAAAATATTACAGACCGTAATTATCCTTTTTTACAGCTATTTTCCCAATTTCTAAGCATTTTAAAGAATTTATTTGCGTAATACGTAAATCACTAAATAGTATAAAAACGTGATATATAATAATATTGCAGATATTCGAGGAACTTTTTATTGATTTCAAACCAACAATGGATCCTGATAAAAGCTATTGCCTGGATTTCAGGATCAAAGTAGGGTTGGCATTTTGAATAAAAGCTTTCACGGTGTAGTTTTCCTATCTACACACTTTAATATAAAAATCAGTTTTCTTTTTAAAATTTTGGTATTTTAACATTAATTCGACGTATTTAATGCTTTAGATGTGCCGCCGTTTAAGTATGAACCATGAAAGTAATGAATAACTCAAAACGAATGAAAAACTTGTCGTATGTCTTGATCAAGCTTAACGACGAATAATCAAAAATAGGAAAAATTGCTACCGTTGCCAAGATAATTCGAAGCGCTTTAAATCAAGGTGTCGCTCGATGGGTGACATGTACTTCCATATAATATAAAAATGAAATGAAAACTATCACCCAGTAAGTTAGTCAGCCGTAAGACTAACCGTGACGCGTCCGAGCGCTTTTCAGTTTTTTTCAACAAAAGCTCACAAAATCAAGTGGACATTCTTTGACCGCCCACCTCGTACATTAAGTGTAAAATCCTCTAAACAATTAGATCATTTAAAGAGCTGCACTATTTGTAATGAATGGAAACTTAGCACACAGGGAGTTTGAAGTTTGGTAGGTAATTCCTATTTAATACGCTTTAAAGTCAGAACAATTTTATTTATTGCTAGAATATTTGAAAATCTGTTATTATTTGGGACAAAGTTGATAGAAGAAAACATGATCTGTTAATTTTGACTTTGACTGAAATTCTAAAGCTAAGACACAAACTATTCGTAAATATTTTTGGATTTATGAAGCCTGTACCAAGTACAAAATTCCACATCCAGACCGAGGCAAAAATCATGAAGTTGTAAAACAGGATTTTTTATTTATATTAGTGATTATAATTATTATATTCAGTCTAGATATACATATTTATATTTAAAGCGTAAATGATGAAGACCTGGTAATTCTGTCATTTAAATATCGAAATCCCAATTCGTTATCTTGCGCTGTTTACGTTGCTCACCTATTTTAGGATTAGGGAAAGTATTTGATGCTCTCATGCTTATTCAGTTACGACACTTCATCGTTTCAGAGTTTTCAACCGTTCCGTTAGAAACAATATTTCCCTATTTTGCAGGTGTTTTCCGAGGGGCTGCTAATGGAATTGAAAATTTACGGGCAGGACGGACCATACGAAATTCTCAACGGATTTTAAAGCAACATTTTGATTGGTTGCCTTTAGAATTGCAGAAGAGCCACTTAGAAAATTAATTTCTCCAGTCTGAGTGAACTGATTTATGAGTACGGGATACTTAATTATGAAAAAGCTGTTTGGCTTTTCAGAATACTATTCTTCAGGAAAACAAATTGAAATTTTTTCAAAACTTCTGCTTTCATATTTTTCCAACTTTTGTATATAATTGAAGTAAAATATCAGCCAGTAAGCGACCATGCGCATGTAATATACATATTCACTTTCGGTTTTACATTTGTTAAGGCAAAATATATTAATATTGAAAATAAACATTCGTCTTGAATGCAAGGATAGACGCAGTATATTTGAAAGTCGAATTTCTGTTGTTGCAAAAACCAACCGTCATTACCAATGTAATAGAAAATAAATGAATTGACACTGAAGTACTTAGCAAACAAAAGTTCTTAATAAGCGATAATTAATGTATTATAAAAAATACGGATTGCAAACATACGATTCTGACGCGGGTGATACAGTTAAAATTTTGCATTCGTTATCTGATTGGATGATTATAAAGCAACAACTTTCCCAGATCAATATTTGGTTGAGTGTTAGAATCACGCCTTACATTTTTTTTGCGGGTTTCTTGAAGAGGTTCAGGCATATCCTCGTCAAGAAAATAATCGTTTGACTATATAACTACGAGCGTCAAGCTTGTTGAAGTCATGTGTGTTATTAACCACTTGACGGAATCTACATTTCCCTCAATAAAGGGCCAACCCAATTATGTGAATTCCAACCTACACATAAACTTTTTGGGGATACTTAGTACACGCTTCCCGCACCCAATGTGGATTTTATCGCTTCAGCAACTACAATTTTGGGGGTTTAAAATTCCATGAACCATAAACCAAACATACAATATTATTTAATGCGTACGGCTGATTTTGGAGTTTTGGGCCATATTGAAGTTGGTAACTTCATTTAGGTTAATAAAACATTAATTTAAATTCATTTTTTTTTCATGTTTTTTTGATGATGAAAGTTAGTGGATCTCAATTTTCAAAAAGAACTATTATATAAAATAGTATTATTTTACTAAGAACAAACAAGATCTGCACACATTTAATAAACTTGCTCTAAGATTTCAGCAGTGGTTAAATAATAAAATCTACTGCAAAACCGTGATTATGTTGAAGTTGCAGGACAAACTGTTATAGTTTCGATTAAGACGACGATAAAATCCATCGAAAGATATTGTTTGTTAGCAGGTTTATCTGATGGATCTGTATTACTAGCTAAGGGGACTTGAAAACTTCTAATTTAGAAATTATAATTGAGATTATGAATCAATATTATCTTTGTTATAAAAATTCTGTATTAATATTATACAGAAGAAGTTATTTTAATATGAAATAATAAAAAAAATATTTCTGAGAATCCGAAATATATTTGGGATTGATATTAGGCAAGATCCTGTATAAACACAATTAATTTTAAAACATGTAATATTATTTATTTTGAAGTCTGCGTTGACTTGAAATATCAGCAAATTTAATGAAATACATATTTTTTTAAGTATACAGCTTTCTAAGACTTTCTAAGACGCTTGTGGTTAATAATTATTAATCTGTTTTTTCTTGTGTTAAGTAGCACAATGTTACTTTTTAATTTTATTTCTCTGCTTGTGCAGTTATAATGCATCTGAATTAGTATTTTTTTATCAAAATTAGTGAGATTTAAGTTAGAGCGACAATTTGCAAAAAATTGAAAATTTAAAGCGAATATTTTCCTGATTGATATTTTATAACTTATATAAAAATTTAACATGTATTAATATGATTTGTTAACTTACTCTTTCTTAGATAGCTTTTAACTAGTAATACAAGGGCTATCAAAAAGTCAATGCTAAAATAAAAAATATATATACCTAACAAATTATAAATTCATATTACAACTTGAGCTTCAAAATACTCTATATGTTCACTATATGATATTGTGATCAGAAACTCGCTACTCACATAAATAGATCATTCGGTATCAATTCGCAATAAAAAACGGGACAAGGGCGGATCCAGGGGGGGTCATGGGGGTTGTGACCCCCCCATTCAATTCTGTATCCAACGATGCCAAAACGAATTCTCTGGCTCGAATGGTTCTTGAGAAACTTCGAAAAACGCAGCGTCATGTTCAAGTGGATTTTGCAACTCAAAAAAAACCACGCAAATCTAAAACTTCTTGAATTCAAGCATTTTTTGCGAAAACTGCCAACATTTCCTTAGTTCTGTCCAGAATGATGTACAAATGAGCGTTCTTGCTCATTTTGCCTCCGAGATATGAGCAAAAACGAGACGGAAAATATGAAATTTTCGCATAATCTTGCACCTAAGTGTCTGATGTTACGACTTAATCGACTATTCAATTAATTGTCTATCCAACGATGCCAAAACGAATTCTGTGGTTCGAATGGTTCTTGAGAAACTTCGAAAAAAGCAGCGTCACGTTCAAGTGGATTTTGCAACTCAAAAAAAAACCACTCAATTCTAAAACTTCTTGGATTCAAGCATTTTTTGAGAAAACTGCCAACAATTCCCCATCCATGGTTCACTTTCTAAAAAGGCCATTTATTTCTGTCCAGAATGATGTACAAATGAGCGTTCTTGCTCATTTTGCCTCCGAGA